CCCCAAAACCCCAAAACCCCAAAACCCCTAAAAATGCAGGATAATTGAAATATTGATACTTAATAAATATGAGCAAGAACCAACCACTTAAAAGAACCAACCTTGGTGAGTGGGAGTTGAGTAAGGGTACAGGGGTGTAAAGACTGGCCATTAGGAGGGGAGTCAGGGGGTTTTAGGGAGAAATTGTATTTTTGGGATGTAGAAATTAGTTTAGACGCTTTTATCTTCTGTAAACTTCCAATACCTGATTTTTCAGAATTCTTATGATTGTCGAAGTAGCTGGCGATGTTTATCACTTTTAATGGAGAATTTTACCTAAATAGGAAAGCGTGAAAGCAACACAAACAAATTCCTAAACATCATGATGAAGGACCTCTTCATCGATGATTTCAATAACGTAAGTGCAAGTTCAAAGAGGACCCTTAACCCAAAACTCCTGATATTTTTTGAAATCTTATGACTCCGAACTCCTCTGTTCTCTTTATCCGGATTGGCAAATTTTGCCATGCTTTAAATCTATAATTATCCATAACTGGATGCCATAAGTTCTCAAAGAATTTTTGCTAATTTTTCCGTATAGCATCTAGAAGAACCTAAGGAAGAAACATTCTCAGAGGTTATCACCAGATCTTGGGGAGATCTCATCGAGAGAATAAAAATTATTTTTACAAAATGCTCAATTTACGAAAATTCCGGAAAGAGTAAGTATTAGACTCTCGATTTTCCTCTCTTCACCTAAGGTCAGCTATGAAGAGTAGAGAGAAATCTAGCATAAAACTCACATTTATATAGTCTTCCGGAAAATTAAGCAAGAATGTGCCTATATTGGCTACCAAAGCTGGAAATCAACCAGCATGAGAATTGAGATTCCCTCTCTCATCGCAATTCTAATCATGATACTCACAACTCTATTTGTAGTAATTAAGAGTAAGTGTTTGTTCTTAGAGTGTGGTAGCTCTCTCAGATGCCTCACAATACCAATTCTATCAAAATTTTGCTAGATATTTCCCAAATTTTATTTTCTATTACTCGGCCATCAATCAATACCTTATAATCGTGATAATATAATGTAAATTCAACAATATTTAAAGAATTATAAAGAACTTTAGATGGCACTCTAAACTTTTTAGATACCCTATCTTGCCATGAAATCTGTCCAATATCCGTATGAGCATGTTTTAGATATATATCGGTCTGTCCTTTCCTTCTCAGCAGCTGGCTCCTCCTCTTCATATACTATCTCAAGAGGAGAACGATATCCTCCAAAGTAAAATTGAAACAGTCAAGGCAACAAATCCTTGAGATGAGAGAAATAATTAAGATGATGCCTTTTGGAGTTGCCATAATACCCAAAAATCCAAATGCCTCTCAAAAGAACTTCCTTAATGACGAATTCCAACAGAAATACATTGGAAAATGGGGAAATCTTGAAGAGCTCTTAAGAATTCAGGGAAAATATGATGATTCAGATTTTAACCAAGAGAGGTCCAAGAAGGATTTTAATCGTTTTGAGACAGACAAGAATGTTATTTTAAGAATCAACAAAGATAATATCAGTTATAAGTGTAACGACTCTGGTGATAGAGCCTGTAACATTAGTACAGCTATTGTTAATTGGGAAGGCATTCCTTCCTACATGCATATTATTAATGACAATACTGAGCTGATAAAAGCAGAAGAATCTAAGATGAACCAAAAATGCCAAGAAATAATGTTTACTAATGCTTCTCATGATCTTAGAACTCCCTTGAACTGCATCCTAAACTCTTTCTCGATACTTGAAAACTCTTTCAAAACAACTAACAAACTCATCACACCGCTAGTGTGCCATCTTTCCCACTCTCAGCAGCAACTTCTAGCTAGCAACAATCTCGAGATCAAAAATTTTCTGAAAAACGGTACAAATTCTTCCCACTTGCTCCTTGCTCTTGTTGATGATATTTTGAATCTTTCCAAGATCAAAAGCGGAAAATTTGATGTCAAAAAAGAGAAATTCCAAATCCAGGATCTCTTCACCGAGATCTACTCTATCTTCAAACCCCAATGTGACCAAAAGAAACTAAAATTTGATATCCAAGTCTGTGAAGAAATGCAAAAATTTACTCTAATATCAGACCCTACTGTAATTCGTCAGATCCTGATCAACCTCGTGTCAAACTCACTCAAGTTCACATTCGCATCTATTAAAGGTGTAAAAACGAAAGAATCTGGCTTAATGTCTAGTGGTACTATGAAATGATTAACCCCGAATATACCCATATCAGATCCCTTAAATCTCGCTTTTAAAAGTCACATAACAATCTCAGCTACCTTCACAAAAAGGAAAGGGAAAAATTACGTCCATTTCTCAGTGGAGGACTCTGGAGTGGGAATACCTGCCCAAAAGAAGGACAAACTGTTCAAGTTGTTCCACCTGGTCACCAAGGACGGAGGCCTCAGCAACAATGTGACTGGCCTGGGACTTACTGTTTGTAAAGAATATACAGAAGCTCTAGGAGGAGAAATTTGGCTCGAATCAGAAGAAAATTTAGGAACAATAGTGAGCTTTGTCGTTCCTTGATTATAAATATGTTTATTTTATACCTATTCTAAAATTTATAAATCTCATAATTAGTTAAAAGCTCAACATTTTAACCTTAAAATGGGGTTTTGGGGTTTTGGGGTTTTGGGGTTTTGGGG